TTCCTGAGCTAAGACAAAAATCTGTGAGCTGGAGGCTAAAAAACTGTGAGCCAGCTAACACTAACTCAGCTTAGAGGGAACACTGCTCACAGGGTGTCTGTTGTGCGGAGGGGAAGGGAAAGGAAATTATCAGCCGCTCTGAGCCTCCTTCAGGTAGTGAAGGGCAGGGTATAAATTCAATCTCCTCCTCCAGTTTGGTGTAGTGGTTAAGTGCGCCATGGACTCTAATCTGGGAGAACCAGGTTTGATTCCCCGCTCCTCCACTTGCACCTGCTGGATGACCTTGGGCAAGCCATAGTTCTGTCAGAGCTGTCCTTGAAAAAGAGCAGTTTCTGTCGAGAGCTCTCTCAGCCCCACCTACCTCACAGGGTGTCTGTTGTGAGGAGGGGAAGGGAGTTTGTAAGCTGCTCTGAGACTCCAAGTGAAGGGCGGGGTATAAATCCAATCTCCTCCTCCTCTTCGTCTTCTATGATTCCCTGCCCTCTGCCGTAGTTCTGATAAGAGCTGTTCTTGAAAAAGAGCAGTTTCTGTCAGAGCTCTCTCAGCTCCACCTACCTCACAGACTGTCTGTTGTGGGGAGGGGAAGGGAAAGGAGTTTGTAAAGCCGCTCTGAGACACCTTTGGGTAGTGAAGGGCGGGGTATAAATCCAATCTCCTCCTCCTCCACATGCAGCTGCTGGTGTGACCTTGGGTCAGTCACAAGTTCTCTCAGAGCTGTTCTCTCAAGGACAGCCCTCGAAAGAGCTCTCTCAGCCCCACCTACCACCACCACCACCTCCTCCTCCTCCTCCATTACAGCTCATCTCCAGACTACAGTTCCCCTGGAGGAAATCGATGCTTTGGAGGGTGGTCTCTCTGGCACGGTACCCCAACTGAGGTCCCTGTCCTCCCCGGGCTCCGTCCTCAAATCTCAAGGAGTTTCCCAACCTGGAGCTGGCAACCCTACCTCCCCTATCCTCCCTCAGTGGGACCAGGCAGCCCTCCTATCTGATGAAGGGAACTTTGACTCAAAAGCTCATACCCCCACCCCCCCAAAAAAATGTTGTTGGTCTCTAAGGTGCTCCCCGGACTTGAAGCCGGCTGTGAAATGCTGAGGAAACTCACATAATTTCTCTCCATTCCTGTCACAGGAACGAGCTGGTCTGTATTCCTTTACGGGAAGGGGAGAAAGGGGCAGCTGTTTTAGTCTGCCCTTACAACTTTTTTTTTTTTAAGTCCTGTGGCACCTTCAGATTAACAACATTTATTTCAATATTTATTTATTAACTACATTTGTACCCTGCCATTCTCCTCAGCGGGAACTCATAGTGGCTTACACTGTTCTCCTCTCCCTGTTCTACCCTCACAACAACCCTGTGAGGTAGGTTAGGCTGAGGAGCCAAAACCCGGGTGCCATCAGGAGGTCCACCAGTGGGGCCAGAAGAACATAAGAGAAGCCATGTTGGATCAGGCCAATGGCCCACCTAGTCCAACACCCTGTGGCCAATACCCAGGTGCCATCAGGAGGTCCACCAGCTGGGCCATAATAACATAAGAGGAGCCATGTTGGATCAGGCCAATGGCCCATCCAGTCCAACACTCTGTGTCACACAAGGGCCAAACCCCAGGTGCCATCAGGAGGTCCACCACTGGAGTCATAAGAACATAAGAGAAGCCATGTTGGATCAGGCCAATGGCCCACCTGGTCCAACACCCTGTGGCCAAAACCCAGGAGTCATCAGGAGGTCCACCAGCTGGGCTCCATCTCCTTTATATTTAGTGATCTTAAGATTTCAGACTGGACAGGATTGTGGGTCAGCTTCACAAGAACTAGACACTCTCTCTCTGTCTAAACTAACTTGGCACCTGTGAAACAGGGCTGAAAGTGATGTTGTCTCATTTATTCCGCAGGTAATTTCAACCATTCCTGTCTGGAGGCTGCATAGAGACAATTTCCATCCGTGTGCCAAAACGCCCTCTAGGGGACTGCCAGCACATTGCAACAGCAGGAAGACCACCAAAAATATTATAATATTTTAAGTGTAACTTATTATTTATATCTCTGACCCAAAATGGTCTGCACCTGCTCTGCTAATCGCACCGCAACTGCTTTCTAATATTTGCAGACTTCTTGCAGATGACCATTTTATATTACTTTGAGCACGGATGCTCTCTGTCAATAAAGTGCTGTGAACAAAATGAATTATGAACATAATGTTCTGGTTTTGCTTTAGTCCCTTCTTCTGCCTGCAGTGAAGGCAACTAGTTTGGTGCAATGGTTAAAGTGTCAGGGCGTGTTCAGACGGCTCTTTAGATCCGTGCGAGGCACGAGTGCCTCATGGATTTAAATCTAATGTCCAGACTTGAAGATCTGGGAAACGTCCGTCTTCCATGAGCATCCCGTTTTGCCACACTTCAGAGCCGTACTAAAAAGGAGTTTTCAGTTCTGACAGGCCAATTGCGGACTTGTCCCGGTCTGATCGTTACAGCGCAAATGGGCGCCATTTTTTTAAAATCTTGATTCTGTGCATGCGTGGATAAATAAGTCCACAATATCACACCTATGTGCATGCGCAAAAAGTTTTTTTAAAAAACCCCACCGCGCATGCCTCCTTCAGTGGATGCTGCCTAGACAATCCAAAGCAGAAGCAACGTGCGGTAAGGCAATTTCCCCAGGGGATGTCTGGCTGTGCGAGGCCGGATTTAAAAGATCAGGATCAAATCTGAGCCAGTATAATGGCGGGATTAGCTGCCCGTCTGAACGCACCCTCAGACTAGGATGGGGGAGACCCAAGTCAGAATCCCCACTTTGCCATGTAGTTAAAAGACATAAGAACATGAGAAGAGCCCTGCTGGATCAGAGCAGTGGTCCACCAAGTCCAGCATCTTGTTCTCACACAGAGGCCAACCAGTTCCTCTGGAGGGCCAACAACAGGGCAGAGAGGCTGAGGCCTTCCCCTGGTAAAGGCATCAGAAGAGCCCTGCTGGATCAGACCAGGGGTCCAACTAGTCCAGCATCTTGTTCTCACACAGAGGCCAACCAGTTCCTCTGGAGGGCCAACAACAGGGCAGAGAGGCTGAGGCCTTCCCCTGGTAAGGGCATCAGAAGAGCCCTGCTGGATCAGACCAGGGGTCCAACTAGTCCAGCATCTTGTTCTCACACAGAGGCCAACCAGTTCCTCTGGAGGGCCAACAACAGGGCAGAGAGGCTGAGGCCTTCCCCTGGTAAGGGCATCAGAAGAGCCCTGCTGGATCAGACCAGGGGTCCAACTAGTCCAGCATCCTGTCTCACGCAGTGGCCAACCAGTTCCTCTGGAGGGCCAACAACAGGGCAGAGAGGCTGAGGCCTTCCCCTGGTAAGGGCATCAGAAGAGCCCTGCTGGATCAGACCAGGGGTCCAACTAGTCCAGCATCCTGTCTCACGCAGTGGCCAACCAAGTCCT